GGAATGCTTGTTGAGTGAGTGACTGAGACCCTGTACAAGATGCAAGTGAAGAAGTTATGCTCTTTTCTCCTGAGCAACTATATCATTTGATTCAGAACATTTTGATGCTGCCTTTTGTAAACTTGAAAAAATTAAGGACGTTTTCCTTTAGAAAGTTTACATCGTTGCAAATGTAAAAGAAAGGGAAAATAGATTAAAATGGTTGCTGTGGAAATTCCCTCCCCACCTTTTTAACTTCTTAGAGGGTTTTTTTTTCATTGAACATTTGCTTACTATAGTCAACAAACAGGATGACATCATTCCTTCTCTAAGGTGATCTACCACCATTCTGATGAAACAGCCTTTTTGAACGAGAGCAGGGAGCTCAAGTTGTTTTTTTAAAAAGTCACTAGCTTTTCACAGTGCATAGGCCAGGCAGTGTCATGGGAACCTGTTTTGACTTCGTCTCAGCTGGGAGGGCCCAGGTAAGACACCTTAGTTGACAGTTTCTTCTCAGCAGTGCTTCCTGAAGCAACAGTAGACTCCTCTGCTATTGAGACTGTTTAGGAGGAAGCATTCTAGAACTCTGGGGAAAATGATGGGCAAGGCTCTGTGCACGATTGGGCACCTCAGGATGGAGCTAAAGAGATGATTTAGTCACAAGTAACTGACATAAGACAAAACGAAATAAGTGTCTCTTGAGACATGCAGAAAAATTGCCACTAGTGGAAGACACTTGTGGACAGAGGTGGAGGGAAGGCTTTCACCAAGATAAGAAGGTCTCAACCGTGGCTGCCTGTTGGAATCACCAGGAAAGAGCCCCATGCCCAGACCACAGTCCAAAGTCTCCGGGGTGAGCCTAGGCATCAGTTTCTGTCTTAAAGCACAGTGGAAGATTCCACTGTGCAGCCAAGACCAAGAACCCCTGAACCAGCCAGGGTTGTCCGTGGCCACTTCACAGAGGGGCTAGGACTGGGCTGGGAAACAATAGGGATGATTTCTGCAAGTAGAGACGAGAATGGTGGGTGATACTCCAAGCACACAAAACCACAGAAAGCCTACACACCTCTGGGGAGGTGTAAGGCATGTCAGTCCCTGGCCTAGGAGACTCGGGCAGGGCCTGTGCCCTTGAGTGGCTGAGTTGTTTGCCACATTCAGAGAGATTTGGAGTCAGCAGGCAGGAAGGCACCATCACAGGAGCAAAGTAATGGGCTTGCTGCCTTGCTTGTTACAGAAGAGCCATGGTTACCTCTCTCTGGGGATTCTCAGTTGCCTCATTACCTCATTTCCTACACCTAGAGGGGCAGAAGGCTAGTGGGACGGGAAACGGGACCAAGGCTGCAGCAGGGGTTAGGAGAGCAGGCAGTGGCACAGATTTTGTGGAACTCTCTCCCGATGGCCTCCTTTGGGCCACACCTTTGGTTTAAAAATACACCCCACCACCTCCTGCCAGTGTAAACTCAGAGCCACCTGATCCTAAGGAGCCGGCCACCCCAACCCAGGACAGTACAGGTGGTGGCACTGAGTGTGAGGCCTGTAAACCAGGTCTCCATGTGGACCTACCAATGCAAATGACCACCACCTTGAACCTGGCCTGTTGGGGCTCTTGGACAATGACTGAGGCGTGTGGATTTGTTCCTGCCTTATCCAGACAAGGGCCATTTGTGTAACTAAGTTGTCCACAAGCTTTTTTTCTTGTGCTCTGCTGTAGGTAAAAGAATTTTAGTGTGTACCACCATATACTTTATTTATTTATTTATAACAGATCACTGTGTACTACTGTCCTGAATACTACAACATAGAAATATATTTAGATACAGTCTTTTGAATGGATGAGAGGTGAAGACAATTAAATGTTTTAATGTGTTAATAGTACAAGATGTATCATACAAACGTACACTGTTTTTAAAAGAAAGCCATGTGATCAGGTCAGCATCCCATGTATAAACTCTTGGTGAAATCTGAGTCCAGCATTTAAAGGTCTGGTCCTGAGTTCTGTTTGTTCCAGTTTCTGGTTCTTCAGGCACTCACAGGTAAACACACAGAACCTCAGGAAGGCAGGTAGACTATGCCATGCGTCCAGTACTTGGTTTTCAATCCTGCTCGCTGATCGTTCAAGGGCTCTGATGAATTTGGGCTGGTCAGTGTTCAGGGGCTATCAGGGAGGGAGGAAATTCTGGTTCCCAAAGCTCGTGGTGTGCAGGTGTGTCTGTGTGCCTGTGGGTGGCACCCTTGGCAGCGCAGTCACAAGCGTGGGGAAACGTCTCCAAGCATCTGTTTTTGTAAATATTCTGTTCTTGGCACAGATTATTTTGAAAAGCTGTAACTCTCAAGCATTGTCACTTTTCCTTTGAAGGGGCAGATTTAAGTGCATTGGTTTAAAATCAGTAACCTGGCTGACACACTACTGAATTCATTTGTTATTGGGAAAAAAAGAAAACGGTTTCCAGGTTTGAAACTTCTCATGAAAGAAAATGTGTATTTCCTCCTTAGGTTCTAAGTCACAGGATAAACAGGCATTCGTGGACATTCCCTACAATCACGCGAAAGGATTGTAAAACTTCAGCTATTAAGTCTTTTTTTCAATTGACCCAACCATGATATCATGAAGCGTAGAAACTCCAAAACACCCAAGACTCTTCGAGTAAACTAGTAGGCAAGGGCCCACCATCACCTCCATGTCACGGAGCCCCTCCTCTGTCAGGATGCTGTAGCCACTGACACGCAGGCCTGCAAGAGTGCCATGGTGCATCCCCATACTAAATATTAATAAAGCCAATTTTTAAAACATTTTTTCTTTCTTTTTTTTTAATAGTGAAATTTTTTTTGTTTTAATGGAGGTACTGGGGATTGAACCCAGGACCTTGTGCATGCTAGGCACATGCTCTACCACTGAGCTATACCCATTCCTCTCTACTTTTTTTAAAACATTTTTGTTTTTAAAGAAAACTACTTATAAGTAGAATTTCTCATCATTCCTTTACTCCAGTAGGTTGTCTTGCTTACCCACCTTGAAGATCAATAGTGGGGTTCACTGGTGGGGACCATGCTCTATAAATGTGTCTGCTATCTTCAGCCTTTTTTTTTTTGACAGTGCTTATTTGGACATTCATCTGTAGAATCCACTGATTTAGATAGTCTCACAATTGAAAAGATTATGTACTGGACAAAAATTTAAGTAAAACAGAACACCCTTGAGCAGCATTGCTAAACATTTTGAATGCCCTCACATCCCTGCCAACCCACCCAACTCCCACTCCACCCATCTCTCTTCTTGGCACAGCATCCAAGGCCTTGGTCGGCTTCCCGATCTGGCTCAGTCCCTGCTGCTCACTCCCCAGCCACTCAAAGTTACTTGCTGTTCCACACACACTCTTTCACTTCTTCGTGATCTTATAATACCCTCCCCACACTAGCTAACAAGAAACTTGGGACTGGTCTCCTGTGTCATCTCCTCCTGGGAGCCTTCCCAGAGCTCACTCTATCTTACGCGCGCGCGCACACACACACACACACACACACACACGAATTCTGGTCTTCTCCAGAATTCCCTGATGTTTTGTTGGGCTTCAGTTATAGCAATTACAGCACATGCAGGCATTAGCGGACTGTGAACTCCTTGGATTAAGAACACTGTGATTTTCATTTCCAAATCCTTAATACCTGGTATAAGTGCCCATCACACAGTAAGCACTTGGCAAATGTTTGTTGGATGGGTAAATGCTTTCTTGTCTTGTGTGTCCTAAAAGACCACAGATTCTACCAGCAAACGTTAAGTACCTTTCATGCCTTCTTCAGCCTGTGCACACGTAGACTTTTAATACCACTGACTGTTGTGGGCTCCCCATGTCATGAAGGAAATGCTTTCCTAGCTGAGACCCATCTCGGTCTTCGGGAAAAGTGCCGAGTGCTGGCCAGTGCCACCAACAAAGCCATCCCTATTCCACACCTCTGATAAGGAGGGCAGAGCCATGGTTGTCTGCTCCCTGTGTGACAGCAGGATGTCTGCCTGTGGCTTTACTGAGACTCCCTAGCTCCTGCCCATGCCTTCCTCCAGGCCTGTGCAGACTTAGGCGTCCATGGAAAGAGATGCCCTGAACCTGGAATGTGACAGAACACGTGACATAACAGCATGTGCCTTGCCTAGGGCCCTGTCCACCTCTGCTTGTTGATCTGGAGGTCCACTCAGCAGTGACCTCTCTAGAAGTGTTATCACCATTCTGTTCTGTACGTACAGAAATTTTTTAGAAGTCCTCTGCATGGGCACATAGAACCTGGAAGATGTATTCAAGCCCATAATGAGAAAAATCCCCAAATAAGGAAGCGGGGCAGAGATGGGGTGGGGATCGGGACCTCTCAACATGCAGTGAGCACTGCTGAGCATCAGCCTGCCCGGCACAGTGCTCCCGAACTGAAACGACCATCGTCAGAGGAATCCTGTGTGCCTTCTTTGAGAGAGTTCTCAGAAATCAGCAGCCCTCAGTATACACTCACTCTGGACCAGCTCAATTGCTTGCCTGAAAAAGTAAACATTGAGATACTCAATGACTTGTGTAACGTTTAATATTTTAACAGTAAGCAAACAAGCCTTTCAGTGGTAAAAACAGCTTTCCCTTCCCTTCCTGGCTCTGTCCTGGGAGGAGGGAAGTGAGTCTCTGTGGGAAGTCCTCAGACGCTCTTGTGGGGCCTTGCAAGTGGCTGGAGCCAGAGCAGTGGCCTTGGAGTGGACCATGCTGGGCCTGGTTCTGGACTGCAGCCCCTGCCACTTCTGGGGGACTCGGAGTGCCACGGTGTCAAGTAGGGTGGGGAGGGAACTTGAACTTCCTTTTCTCGTGTACATTGGCTTTTGTAACCAGAAAGCTTCCTAGATTTTGTAATTCGGGGATTCTCCTCCTTGACCTTCCTTTTTTGCTCAAACAGAGCAGATGTGGGTATGCCGTTCAGTGAGACTTCAGATGAAGCCTGGCAGGTGCAGAGCAACGGGCTGGATGCTTTGGGGAGACAGAAACCATGACATGTCTATTAAGGTGGTGGGGCTCAGGGGATATTTTTTCTTTTTGATTTCTAATGTTATGTACTGGAAGAAATATCTACAAGTTTGATAAAGATGTTTCCTGCTTTGGGACACACAAGGATGTAGGGGGGCCATGGTGAAAACACAGACTGAGAGGTTCGGATCCTGGCTCTGTGGCGTTCTTGCTGTGTGATCCTGGGCCAAGTGCTTCCTCCTGGTTTCTTAGTCTATGAAAGGGTGATGATACCAGAAGCCAGGGCTGGACTAGGGGGCTCTATAAGTATAAAAGTATATAAAATAGAAGCCTTTTATGGTTTATTGTACCAGGAGAGAAGAAAGAAGCATCCCAGCAGGCTCTGTTTTCCTAAATCCATATAGTTGTTTGGTATTGGACTTGGTTCTGTTTAAGTAACGTGCCTGTGATCTGTCTTGCACTTTGACTTTCTAACTTGGGGAGAGGTGTTTTATGAATATTGTTTAAACTATGCTCTAGCGCCCTCCATTTGCCCAAAGGTGCCGGAGAGTCATGCCAGCGAGCCCTGGGCCCCTCCTGATGTCCCCAGAGGCGTCAGTGCTCCGGAACCCCAAGGTCACCCCGCCGCACTCCAGAGGCCTGCTGGCCCCACCCCAGAGCCCTCTGTGCAGGGCCGCCTCCTCCCAGCCAGTCCTCTCATAGCCCCAGAGGAGGACCTCAGCCAGGAGCCTCTCTCAGGACTCAGGTCAGTTCCCAGATGCTGCCGTCTAGTGTTGTCCTCCTGGGAAGGTGGACGGTCTGTCTTTATGCCCTCCCAACCCACCGGGGCCTCGAGAGATGGGATTAAGCCTGGGGATGTGTCATTTCTTGGCCAGACTTTTCCAGAAAAGGAAGTTGGCAACTTCTCTGACAAGAAGGCTTCTTTGAATTGTGACCTTTTTCTATTCCCCTCTTGGTAGTGGGAGAAAGTTCATCTTGGCCAAACCAGACGCCCGTCAGCCCACTATGGGGATGATCGGCCCCGGCCAGAGACTGGTTTCCCTTCTCAGCCTACACCACTTCTTGAAAATTTTCATAAACCACAAGCCTTTGTGGGTAACATTTCACGACTGCTCTTTTATTAACTGTCTACGACTGATTTTAAGACAGATTTTCTATCCTGCTGATTTTAAAAGAATTTGGATAATTTATTAAGTTGTCACTTAATAGCACTTCATACTATTTTATCTTTAATCGCCTCACATTTTAACCATGTGGTTAATTAAAAGCCACATTTTAAATTAATTTGTAAATAATTTGTTGCAATTGTGTTTTCTACAAATATTTACTGACTACCCTTTAAAGCATAAATTTTGAGGAACTACTATTAGACAAATATGGACAGGCACTTGTTTTTTTAAAGCAAGAGTTTAATTTAAATATGAGCGTTACTGGGAATGAGTTTCAACCAACCGAAGCCAAAAGTAAAACTGGCTGTTTCAGGAGAAGAAAAAAAGCTCTTGCTTTGTGTGCATTGGGTCTCGAGCTGGGCTCTTCGGGCTGTGGCGTTAGAGCGCAGTAACTAACGAATGATTTACCAGCCGTCTGTCTGAGCCTTCCGCGCAGTCCTAACCTGCCTGGTAAATGGTGTTGGGTTAGTATCGGCCTGAATGTGGTGCTGATTCCGAACTCCTCCCCTGTGAGTCATGGCTACTTCTCCCCACTTGAAGGACTGTGAGTTGTAGAGGGCTCCTCTCCACTCCACCTGCATCTCCGGGGCCTTCACTCTTCTGCTGCCCTCACTGCCCACCTGCGATCCAAGCCTTGGCCTTCACACCCACAGATTCCAGAATGTGGTGCTTCTGTGTCGTGGGCGTCCCAGGGTCTTGCTGAGCTGACTCAAACCCTTTCCTTCTCTACAGGTTAGTGTCTGATGAACTCCGGGCTGGGTTCTCTGCTTCTCACACTTGAAATCTCATGAAATAAATTTCCCTAAATTGAGGGAGACCTTTATAAACCTCTGTTCTTATTTCTGCCATCACCGTGTTTGATAATCTCTAGCCGATTTTCCCAGCTCTGTGTGCCAGATTTAAATGTAACATTCATACATGACAGAGTAGATTTTCTCTGGAGGAAAATGACCAGTCTCATGTGGAAGCTCACAGACCACTGCTCACAGTTAAAGCAGGAAAAACTAGTCCTTAGGGTTCAAGGCAAGAGAATACACACCATCTTACCACTCATGTGTCCGCCTGCAGTGTCTGCTCCTGGGTCAAGACCACTGAGGGCCCTCATTCCAAACTCTCCCCCTGCTCCCCCACAGCACTCCCCAGGTCTCAGAAATCACCCTGCAGCCAGGACACTAAGCTGAGTTTCCTTTTGCTGTTCTGTGATGGTGGAGGGTAAAACCAGTCAGAAAGGGGAATCCCATCAGTCTGAATATTTTTCTAAGAAACAGCACATTCATACGAACTGTGGAGACCGTCTGAATAGCATTCATCAGCTGACGACCACTCCAGCGGTCACGTTGCTTATACAAGCCCTGCCATTGATTTTACCTGTTGAGAAGAAATGAAGTCAGCTTCCTAAGAGTGTACATTCTCTGAGCATACGGAGCAGAAGTGGCACCTCTCCCTCCCGCGTGCTGTTTTGAGTTGGGGTGGGACAAAAGGAAGGGAGGAGAAACACAGAGAATAGGCCTTGTGCTCAAAACTGACTCTTCCCCACTTTCCCCGCCTTCCCCAGACACTCAGGATTCACGTTTCACCAACACCCTAACTTTCTGTCTTTGGTCCACAAATCACGCCCCCTCCAGCAAGGATGGCAGCGCTTAGGCAGCTGGCACTCCTGCTCTGGAAGAACTACACTTTGCAGGTGGGTCTGACCCCAGCGGGGCGCCATGGAGTTGGGGGCTCAGGGGAGGAGAGGAACCTGGAGGAGGGGGAGTCCGCGGGAGGGGGCTCTGTGAGCCCCTCGCCTCTGCCTCACGCTCATCCGCATGTGGTCTCCATTTCTCTTCAGAAACGGAAGGTCCTGGTGACCGTCTTGGAACTCTTCCTGCCCTTACTGTTCTCTGGGATCCTGATTTGGCTTCGCCTGAAGATCCAGTCAGAGAACGTGCCCAATGCCACCGTCTACCCCGGCCAGTCCATCCGGGAACTGCCCCTGTTCTTCAGCTTCCCTCCTCCGGGAGACACCTGGGAGCTGGCCTATGTCCCATCCCAGAATGATGCTGTGAAGACCATCACGGAGACGGTGAGGAGGATGCTGGTGATCAACATGAGAGGTAGGTGATGTCACTGTGGGGCTCAGGGCCAGAGAGGCAGGGACCAGCCAAGTGGGGCGCCGTGGCCAGACACAGTCTCTCCTTTCATTGGCCGCATTGCTGGGCGAATCCCTCGGCTCTGTGACATGTCTCATTATAAAACAAGGGCCAGGGTTGTGAGGACCATGTGGAGTAACATGCATGACAGTTTAGCAGCACCAGACTGTGACTCCTCAGAGTGGAAATGGCCGTCCACGTACGCCAGCAGAGCTCTTTAATTACCTGGGCAAGGTGTGTTGGGGTGCACAGTGCCAAGAACCTTTTCCCGGATGTGGTTTTGGGAGGACAGCCCTAACCAGAGTCAACAGGAAGCCTATTGAGGGACATTCCCAGTAAAAGTGCCAGTTGTCTTCGCTAGGTCTTTGCTTTCAGAATATAAAATATTATCCCTTTTTCTCTCCCTCTTGATTTTGGCACATAACCTCCTGTGGCCTGTTTAATTCAGGGGAGCAAACACTTAGGGGAAGACCCCTGGTCCCTCACTAAGTGATTGTAGGAAAACCCTTTGTGTGAAATGGGGTCTGGGTGACAGAGAAATCGCTGAAGTATCTGTTAGTGCCCACTTGAATTTTTTAAGCACGCTGTTATGGTTATGAGAGCGGGAGACTGACGCAGGCTGCAGAGCCCGGCAGGTGGTGGCTACCCGCATGGAGGGGGCCACTTACGGACTCAGCATTGGTGCCAGCCCTGCTCTAGCTCTCAACTTCTAGAAGCCCAGGGTTGGCCTTGATGGCGATGTTCTGCCAGTCTTCGCTGCAGCCCATCTCTGCCAAAATCAGAAACCTCCTCAAATCTTGGTAAAGATTTACAAAGCCCAAGAAACTCATGCGTTTTAGTCCCTGATCTGAAGGTCCAGCTCTTCCAAGCAGAGCAGACAATTGGACATCTCTCGGCCCCCATGCTCCCCACAGTGCACGGCTTTCCCTCGGAGAAGAACTTTGAGGACTACATAAAGTATGACAACCGCTCTTCCAACGTGCTGGCCGCCGTAGTGTTCGAGCACACCTTCAACCACAGCAGGGACCCCCTGCCACTGGCGGTGAGGACCCCAGCCCCACAAAGCTGAGCTTCCTCCCCCATGAACCAATCCACCTTCCAAAGGTACTCTGCCTGTCTAGAGCAAGTCCCCGACTTTCCCTGTGGAGCCAGAACCACCGTCTCAGCCCCACAGAGGGAGCCCTGGTGGCACTTGACCCATTGGGCTAGAGCATTTTGGAAACCTTGCCTGCCTGAGGAAGGTGGCCATAGACCGTCACCAGAGGCCCCTTTTTTGTCCCATCATTTTATAAAAGGCATTACTGGTTCCCTTGGACAGGGTCAAATAGGACAAGTAGGAAAGTAGCAGATACTTGGGACGTAAGCCCAATGTGGCATTAGAATTTCAGTTACATATTTAAACAAACAGAAAGCTCTCTGCTTGCCTCAGTGGCATTAAGACAGGGAAACTGTCGAGTCCCCCAGCATTATGATGGTGCCCCTGCCCTGGCGTTAGCAGTGACAAATCTCTCATGAAGTCCACGTTGGTAGATAACAGAAAAAGCTGGTGAAGAGCCCCGCAGGCCCCCTGTTCCCCGATGGGACCACTCGTCCCGACCTTCTGGAACCCAGGTATTAGGAGTCGGCTGGGGTTGGTGAGTTCATGGTAATGACAGTCCCCAGACTCCCTCTCCCTGAACACACATGTTTGCTTCTCTGTCTAGATTGCTCAGAGCGGTTGATTCTGTCTTTGTCTCTGTAGGTGAAATATCACTTACGGTTCAGTTACACACGAAGAAATTACATGTGGACCCAAACAGGCTCCTTTTTCCTGAAAGAGACAGAAGGATGGCACACGACTTCCCTTTTCCCACTTTTCCCAAACCCAGGACCAAGGGAGCCCACGTCTGCTGATGGTGGAGAACCTGGTGAGAAGCGCTTGTCGGGGCCGCCTTCCCTCCCCGGGGTGCTGGCTGGTGATCATCACCTGGGGGTACCCACCTTGTGTTTCCTTGAAGGAATACTTTTTAGGAATATTTGATCTTATTCTTTGTAGGAGAAGGAAGAAAACATGCAGTAAAAGTGGCTTCTGAAAGGCTAAAGTAATCTTTTGTCTCCCTATTTCCCAGGAGACATGTGCTCTTGAATGAAACATTTATATTTCAGGGTTTAAGGAGCTTCAATTTGCATTGGATATTTTGAGCTTGGTTTTACATTTCTCTTCTCTCTTTGCCCCTCTCTGTGCAGTTCTCTAGGCTTTGTAAGCACTGTGGTCCTTGTGTAACTGTCCATACTTTCACTGAGTCAGTGGAATATCTGTGGAAGTCAGATCTCGGCTTGTTGTACCGTCAGTGCGTGTGTCGGTCTGTCTCATGTCACTTGGTCAGGCAGCTGGCTTATTTATCTCCTCTGAAGCATGGTCCCACCTTGGAACTGAGTAACTGGGACTCAGGACTACATGCAGCTGCAGGTTCCAGGCAGCATCCAGGGTGTTGCAGAGACTACAGAATTCCTGGGTCTGTAAGAGACAGAACTTGTTATAGGCTTTGATAAGAAATCCCAAGAATTCCCTAAATAGAGCAGCAGGAGGGCAGGAGGCAGCCAGCATTTAGAGATGCATGTCCAGTGTCAGGACCCATCACCAGATGAATATTCCAGGGAAGGGTTTTTAAATCCAAGAGAGGAGCAAAGATGAGCAAGGCAAGGTGACATGTGCAAGGCCCCAGTTGAGGCCCTGGGCAGGTCACCATCAGGGGGTAAGGAGAAGCCGCATCAGCTATCACACGCACTGCCAGTGGCCAGCACCAGGAAACACTGTGACCCAGGGGCTAGGCGGTCCCTCTTGTTTATGGGGCAATTTCCTAAGCTTGGAAGCAGCAAAGAAAAATGTTCTCAAGGGAGAAGAGGGACCGATTTCACTACGTACAAACTTGAAATTTGCTAAAAAAGAGTAAGATGTAACACCCATTCTAAAAGCAAATAAGAGACTGGGGAAAGCATTTCGGCAAATGACAAAGGGTAAATATCTTCTGTTTTATAAAGGACTCCTTATTCCAAATCAGTTAGAAAAATATGGAGTCCCCAAGAGATGCGGAAATGACGTGAACCTGGCACGCAGCAGCCACTCAGTGAATTAGGCCAGTGTTCTCCCCACGCCCACCCACAAATGTCCACACCTCAGACCCCTGTTCCCCTGTTAAAAATTGAGCCCTGGGAATAGTCTGAAAGAAGGAGAAAACCCACGTGCACAAAGATGTTCACTGTAGCATTAGCCACGATCATAACAATTTCAGCAGTGGGACATGATTGATTTAGAGGGTGGCTTTGCCTCAGCAGTGAGCAGCCACAGAAGTGTGGTGAGACCCCGTGGCGGCATGGCAAAGCCTTGTGGAAGAACAATGTGTGGGCAAGGAGCAGGCAAGCTGTTTCGTGGGGGAGGTGGTGTGATGTGAAAAAGACACTGGCTTTGAATCCAAAGAGACCAGGGTCCCATCTCAGCTTTGTCCACTCCCCCTGTGTGGCCCAACTCCCTGGGCCTCAGTGGCCCTGTCTGTCTGATATCGTTCAATACTCTGCAGGGTCGTTGTGAAGATGAGCACGACAGTGGGTGATGTTGACTGAGCACCTGCTGTTATCACAACCCTAAAAAGACTTGCACTTAAAGGAGGTGATAGCAGTGCACAGATGGTCCCCTCGGGTTAGGAGTGTGGTTGGCATAAAATTGCTTTTCTTGTTTAGAGGCTGGAACCCTGGCAGCTACTAGTTCCGTGTTAGAAGACATTAGCTGTTTTACACGTCACTGAGGAATGAGGGTGCCCAGGCCACCCAGACCTGCACCCCACACCTCCACTCTGTCCCCTGGGCTCCAGCCTCAGGGACTCAGGCTGCCCTTTTCTCTCCTAAGGCTGCGCCCACTCCTTTTGTGGGCTCAATCTCTCCCAAGCCTAGCTCTGGACTGGAATACCATGTCCTCCCAGGCCCTTTTCACTTGAGACATATTATCACAAACAACTTTGGGGAGTCAGAAAGGGCCAGCAGAGAGAAGCCACAAAGTATCACGAAGGTCAATAGCAGTGGCCTTTGGACTGTGGTTCCTGCCTCCCTTTGAGTTGGTAACTTGAGGATGGATGGAATTAAAGTTGCTAATCAGCTGGCCTCAAGGTGGCAAGACTGGTATTGATTATCCCAGTAGGCCCGATGGAATCACACAGGTCCTTCAAAGTGGACAAGGGAGGCAGAAGAGAGAGTCAGAGAAAGATGTGCTGATGGAGGCAGGGTCAGAGAGATGCTGTTCAGCTGGCTTGGAAAGTGGAGAGAGGGGCCCCTAGCCAAAGAGTGAGGGCAGCCCCTACAAACTAGAAAACTGCAGGAAACCTTGGGGCATCAGGCAATGTTGCTCCGTGGCCTCATTCACCAGGGAGACCCTCGCACAGCTCAGTGCCTACGGCGCTCTGAGCACCAGCACCCGCAAGGTGACCCCACGTGCCGGCGTGTCCTCTGCTCCTGCACCCAGGGTACATCCGAGAGGGCTTCCTGGCTGTGCAGCACGCTGTGGACAGAGCCATCATGCAGTACCACGCAAACGCCTCCACGCGCCAGCTGTTCGAGAAGCTCACCGTGATCGCCAAGAGGTTCCCCTACCCGCCTTTCATCTCAGATCCCTTCCTGGTCGCCATCCAGTACCAGCTTCCCCTGCTGCTCATGCTGAGCTTCACTTACACCTCGCTCACCATTATCCGGGCTGTCGTGCAGGAGAAGGAGAGGAAACTGAAGGTACCCCAGGGTGTATTGGGCTTTGAGACATCTTGTTGAGTCCAGGCACAGTGTGGCTGCAGGGTGGTTGTGTCCTGCATCCTGTCGTCAGGCGGGGTCGGCTCCCGGGTACCGGGGCCACAAGAACAGGTGGGCATGGGGCTGATGCCTGTCTCAGGCTTCTCTGTAGTCAAGCCTGATGTACCCACATTTTAAAACGCCGATAAAGCACTGTATTCCGTGTGCAGTATACTGAGGACTGAACATTGAGAAGACGGTGTTTTGGATGTACGGGGTTGCATAGAAAACATCGCTGAAACTAATTTCGCTTGTTCCTTTAAACTTTTCTGATGTGGCTACTGAAGTTCTGAGTTATACATGTGGCTCACGTTCTGTTTCTCTTGAACTGAGCCACTCCAGACAGTCTGTCAACACGAGACAATGTTTAACTGGAAGGCCGGTGGGAAGCTAACTAACTTTGCATACAGATCAAAGACGACTGAAGTTCTAGGCTGCTGGGCCCCGTGTCGTGGGGAATTGGGAAGCCCAAGAAGCGCCACTGAAGGAATCTCACTGACTTAATTGAATGCTCTGAATGAATAATGTCCCCTGTAACCTCACATCATCAACACTGCCAAAATCATCTAAAATTTATATGCAGTTTTTCCTTTGGCAATGTCTGTAATGCCAGAAAAAGACATTTATAGTATTCTCAGTGGTGCCAAATCTGTGGTTATTGGAGCTTTTAAATTGCTCCAGACGAGAGGCTGGGAGAGCTGATGAGGTGGATACTGTCTGCTTGGACACCTTAATAACTTTAATGAAACAATGCGACACTGAAGTGGTTAGCAGTGGACGAGGAAATGGTGCAGGAAGAAAGTTTGTGTATGCGCACGTCTATAGATACATAGATGAAACATTCTTTGACGGTTGAGCCTAAGTGAGGGGTGTACCAGTGGCCACTGTATTGATCTTCCCATTTTTCTGGCAGTTTGAAATTATGCAGAAGAAGTTGGAAAATCAGCCTAGCTAGGTGCCTGGCCTGTGAGAGACACTTAATCAGCCCTAGTCCCCTCCCCGAGACCAGCATAATCAGCTGGAACGTTCTGAGGTAGTGGATGGGCAGGGTCTGCTGTCCTCAATGGTCCCACTGGGCACTTGTGGCTGCCGGGACTGAGGAACTGAATTTTTAATTTTAATTAATTTCGGTTGAAATAGCCATGCGTAGCCAGTGGCCGCAGTATCGGATTGCGCAGGTTTAGACCTGTGTGGAAGGCTTGTCCCAGCATCACTGAGTTCCCATCCTTCCTGCAGGGGGTGCCCCTCACAAGAAAAGTCTAGACCCCTCCATTTCAGAGCACAGGAGGTGAGGCAGTGCCTCTGGCTTCTGAGGCCTTCTGCCATTAGTCCTTGAACTGCCCTGGGACCACGTGTCATAGGAAGGCTGTTACCTTTAGTGTGGTTTAACTCACAGGGTCTCTACCAGGCAGCGAGGGCTCCGCTCTCCTGACCTAGAACCCCAGCACCAGCGGTCACATCAGCCACACCGCACAGCTTCCTGGGGTCAGCGCAAGGGACCCAGAGAGGACTGGGAAGCACAGGGCGGGAGCTGAGGCTGCTGCTGAGGGATTCATGAGCGTAGTCCACAGGGAGGCCGGGCGGGCCCGGCAGGCCCAGGGCTGGAGTGTGGGACCATAGCACCCTCCCTGGCGGCCCAGAGGAGGAGACAGGCAAAGCCTTTGCTCCACGCTCCACTGGGGGGGCGAGGGAGCACCTAGATTGGGGGAAGGTGGGCTAATCCTGGCCCGCGGAGCAGGGAGGGCATCCCGGAGGTGGCACTTAAGCCTGGGAGAGGTAGGAAGAGGGTGAGATTCCTAACGCCCAAGGTCCACAGCTGATACAGAGTGGGCCACATCCTTGCCTCTGGCCAGCAATTCTTTACTGTTCCCACGCCTGGTCTAGGGCCCAGGTGTCCCACTGCCCTCCTACTGGCCCACATGCCACTCGGACACACACACGGACACGCACATGTGCCGAGGCTCTAAGGAGAGTCGGGGTGAGGGAGGGTCCAGGGCGGGGCGGGGAGGCAGTGGAGCATGTGCCCCCTCCCCCAGGAGTACATGCGCATGATGGGGCTCAGCGGCTGGCTGCACTGGACCGCCTGGTTCCTCCTCTTCTTCCTCTTCCTCCTCATCGTTGTCTCCTTCATGACCCTGCTCTTCTGTGTCAAGGTATGTGTGACTTCAAAAGGGGCTATGATATGAAAAGCAAAGTGTTCAAGTTGGTGGGAGGGCCAGAGGCAGCTGTGGCACCCCAGGGAGACCCTTAAGACTCTGCATTTACAGATTTGGGGGGAGTCTGCCCTTTGGGTAGAAAGGGACAGTGGCTTTCTCACTCACTCAAGCGTAGCCCCTTCTCCCGTCTGTACCAGTCTCACTGATGGCTGGGAACGTTTAAGACTCTCCCTGGTTTTGCCTACACCTCCCCTGCCACCCTGCCCGTGCTGACCCCTGGGATGGGCCACGCACAGGTGAAGAAGGACGTGGCGGTGCTGGCGCACAGTGACCCCTCGCTGGTGCTGGTCTTCCTGGCATGCTTTGCCATCTCCTCCATCTCCTTCAGCTTCATGGTCAGCACCTTCTTCAGCAAAGGTGAGTTGTCCTGCCCTCTGGGAGCATGGACTGTGGGTGACCCATGTCTCAGAAGACCAGCAGTTTCTTTAGGGAGATGAGTAAGGTTAAGGGGTCAAAGTGCACCTGAGCAGAAATAACTCAGAGACTGAGGTTTTCTTGACTCTGTGCCTTCCTTTAGATTCAATTTTCTGGGTGTTGAGGTACATCCCTGAACAGCTCTCTCAGTGAAGCTCGCTAGGTGGTTCACTGTCATCAACTTTGTGTGTCCAAAGTTGTCTCTCTTTTGCCCTCACTCCTAAATACTGTTTTAGCTGCAGACAAAATTCTCCATGGATCAGTATTTTCCCTAGGCACTTGGATAATATTCCCTTATTGTCACTGGCTATCCATTGTTGTTGGGAAGACGTCTGCTGACAATGTAGGTGTGGATTTCGTTGACGAATATTTTCATCTGAGGATTCGCGTCTCTTTTCAGTTCTGCATTTCAGTTAGTCTTTCATCGCATTTTGCTCCCTATCATCCCCTCCTTTCTCTTCTATTAGACCAGCGTTGGAGCCTCTCAGTCTGTCCTTCATGTCTCTTAACTTTTTTTTATTATGGTAATAAAATACATACAACATCAATTTACCACATTAACCATTTTAAGTATAAAATTCAGTGACATTAAGGACATTCACATTGTTGTGCAGCTGCCACCACCATCCATCCCAGGACTCTTTTCATTTTGCAAAGCTGAACCTCTGCCCTCATTAAACACTAACTCCCCATCCCCCTGCCTCTGGAAACCACCATTACACTTTCTGTCTCTATGGGTGTGACTACTCTAGGGACCTCAGGTAAGTGGAATCATGCAGCATTTGTCTTTCTGTGACTGGCTTACTTCATTCAGCATACTGTCTTCAGGGTTCATCCATGCTGTAGCATGTGTCAGAATTTCCTTCCTGTGTAAGGCTGAATAATATTTCATCATATATATATA